CGGCTGGGGGGCGGGCAGGCCATGGAAGCCCTGAGTAGCGGCGTGTTCGGCCCAGGGTCCGAGTCACAGCTTATCCTGCTGACGGACGTGCAGTGCCAGGGGACGGAGGCGGCTCTGGGGAACTGCACATATGAGGATCCAGGGATCGACTGTAACCACAACGAGGATGCGGGGGCTCGTTGCCAGGGTGAGCCTCTATGGAGGGGAGGGTTTCTGTGGTTCCAGATTGGGGGCTGAGTTCCGACTCACTGGCCTTGCTGGGTCAGCGCTGCCCGGTCGGCCCTTGTGGCAGGGAGGGACCCGGCAGGTCCTGGGCTTGGGACAAGCAGGGCCTGGGCGCCGCTTTCTGGACATGGTCAGTGTCCACACAACCCCCCGTGACTGACACCCCCCAGCAGGGCTGGGAGCCAGGGCTCCTGGGTCTGTTCTTGGCTCTGGGTGGGTGTCACTACACAGATGAGGGCACCCACCTTGCACCAGGTGCTAGGACTCAAGGCAGTTCATTTTAAAAAGTCCCAATCAATTCCTAGAGCCCGGTGGGAAAGGCACCTGCTCTTACCCATTCCCAGGGCTCAGGGAGGACTTGGGGGGGTTGCGAGGCTTTTTTGCCACTGACACAGTGACAGCTGGATCCGCAGTGTGTTAATAGTCAACAAAGCAGCACACAGACACGCACACACACAAACACATGCGCACGCGATGTGTACTGGGCCCCCTGCAATGGTGCCTCTGCCTCTGCCTTGGTGCGGATGCCTCAGTGTGTGTCAGGCACCCACCTTGTATCCTCCTGGGGGCGCTCACAGAACTTGCCTGTTCTGCCTCCTCCCCAGGCTGTGCTGAGCCCAGCCCTGCCGCGTGCCCCTGTACAAGGCGAGAGGCTCAGTCTGTGCTGGTGGGATTGTGCCCTGATGGGGCTGTTCTGTGCACCAAGGCTGGGGGGGGGAGGGGGGGCAGAGCAGCCGATGGGCCACTGGCCTGGGACTGCCCCGGTCTCCTAGGTCCCAGCCCCTGTCACTGCCATGTCTGGGCCC